AACTAATCGGTGTTAGAATATGAGAAAACATATATTGTATGCGCAAGGTTCATATAGGAGAGGTCATATGCTAACCTAACCCTAAAGTATAATACACAATATAATCTAACAAGAAAGACTTTTAAACAATAAAAGTTGTTAATTTCTTACTGATGTTCCAGTTGAATCTATGCTTGAGAGATGTCCGTACAAGGGCTTCTTGGGATTAGCAAAATTATTGGGGTTTGATCTTCTTAAAATGCAAGGTGTCCCAAACCACCGGCGAAAAGCACAAATTCAATATCAGTTCTGATGTTAATAACATGAAATTTCAACGAACCGCTGCAAGTGGTCACCATACAAACACCCTTTCTGTATTTCTTGCATTCTTCTTCTTACGACTGAGATAGTCTTTATCATTGCTTACATACTGTGCCTGCAAATTTAGAGAAATTATATGTACATAAGTTAGAATTTCTATATCAAATAAATAAATGACAATACTAACAGTTGTTGAGAGCTTGATCCCATTAAAGGGAGCAGTGAATCAATGTGCCCACGTGCACGGGGCACATCACGTTCATGCACAACACGACCCGTTTATCTTTACCTAGGCACAACAAATATTTATTCCATTAAAGACGTGTGATTAGTGATGGCAACGGGGCTAGGGACCCATTTTCATCCAAAACCGTTAATTCATTTCAAAATTATTTAATTACTGCAAAACCGTTCTAAACGGAACGAGTTAGAATGTTAGTTGATGAGACAAGGTGTTTTGCCATCTCTAGTTGTGACATTAGACCTATTAATGATCCGAATCAGAGTCTATAGATTGAAACATTCAAGTCGATAATCTGTTAGCAATTCAAATCAGATAATCTATTAGCTAAACAATTGAATATGGATTATGATCGATTAGATCTAATACTAATCCGATCCCATATAATATAAATATAATATCATGTAAATATATTGTCTAATACAATAATATATACTCCCTTCCCCCAAAATAAGTGTCATGTTTAGGAAACCGTAACTCATTTTATTTTGGAACGGATATATATTATAAAAACATTTTTTTTATTCTTCTTCGCTCTCTCTCTCTCTCTTTACGGTATTTTTTTCTTTAATAAAAAGTCAAATAACTTATTTTCTACTCTTTTTTCCTTTTTTCTTTTTACATTTTATTTTCTTTAATAAAAAGTCAAATACCTTATTTTCTACTCTTTTTTCCTTTTTTCTTTTTACATTTTATTTTTCATCTCCGACTTCTCTCTTTTTTTCCTTGCCATTTTTTGCTAATCTCTTTTAACAATTATTATTATTATTATTATTATTATTATTTTTTCAAAAAAATGTATCTTTTTTTGGATCAGGTTATCGGATTGAATATCCCATTAACAAAAAACTAAATATGGATTCAAGCATAAATAATATGCCGGGTTGTCGGATCGAATTTTGATTGGATCAGTTCTAATTTGGTCCGAATTCAATTCCTTTGTGGGCCTACATGACCTAATTCAATCATTTAGGATCTCTTTTTTGCATTTTTCAATGCTACAAGCCTACAAGAAGACTTCAAAATTTTCAACGTTTTTGTTGGAGGTCGAAACCAACCCAGATTGCATTCTCAAAGCATTTAAAGGGGTAATGATTAAGTGATTTTCTTCATATTAGGCATGAAGTGGACCATTTCCATGACAAAGAGAAGAATGTACAAATGGTTTCGGGCTTCAAACAAAGCCCAAACCATAAACAGTGGGAAAGCCAAAAAAAAAAACTCAGCACAAAGCCCATAAACAGAAGAACAACATATTTTTAGTCTAGAATAACATAAACTTAAGTCATACAATTCTTTTAAATGGGTGTCACTCTCACGCTCCGTACACGGTCTTGCTCCCATTCCTATTATGTGTGACTTGGATTTACACTCCCGCCCCCACTTTATATGGCTTAGCGCTAGACTACTGATGTCTAAGTTTTCATTCCAATTCTGGTGGGCATTAGAATCTTGCTCCTACTATATATGTGTGTGTGTGTATATATACATACACATTAATGGGCTGTTTTCTGAATGTTTTGACTATGTTTTGTTGGACCTAAGCCCATTTTCAGCGCAGGCTGAACCCAATGTAAATTTTGTTCATGTAATACAACTTGCTTAAACTTCCAATTAAACATAAATAAAAAATGCATGGCAGGAATTTGATAATTCAATTTAGCGCTTAATTCTAAATAGATTTAGTATTTATTCAATTAAGTACGTTTGATTATTCAATTTTAATGTCACTAGAAATGGCAATCGAAATAAATAAAATTTTAAGTGGCAGAGACATCATTTATCATTGAATGTTTAATGCTAAAAATTCAAAAAAATATCAATATAATATATATATATATATATACCACTTTAAAATTTAATTTTTAAAATTTTCAGTATTTAATTTTCAGTTTTATAAAACGACATGATGTTTGTTTTGCATGTACACAAGTAGTTACTATTTTCTTATGAACATAGTTCATGTGAATCCATTAGTTAATGAATAGTTGCATGCACGATTAGATATATATATATATATATATATTTATTTATTTATTTATATATGAGTACTAAATATACAGTATTTTTTGGTTTTCTTACAATACTGTGCTTACTGCTTACCTTAACAGGGTAATGGCAAAGAAGAGGAAGTATCTATCACCAGTCTGCTCATAGAAAATTCCACTAAATGGAAAAGATGTGACACTGCATGTTTAACGGGAAAAAAAAAATTAAATAAATAAACGCATGCATATAAGTGATATATACATACATATATATATATATATATATATATATATATATATATATATATATATATATTCAACTGCACTGCAAAATATGTACTGTGTGTGTGGTACTTCTTACTCAGAATAAGAAGGTGAGATCATGGCAACCCAATCAGTCTCAGAAGGAAGCAAAACTCCGGCAACAGTGACCGTGACATATTGATCATCGGAAAGATCAGAGTTTGAGCTAACATTGATTTGAAGGTAAGGGTCTGAATCAGGACATTGACTCAAACTTCTTCTGTTTAGAACCCGAAACTCTGATATCGCGGTGTATTGATCATGGAATTATTTTGTGAAGTTGATATTAATGATTGGAGGTGAAGAAGAAGAAGAAGAAGAAGAAGAAGAAGAAGAGAATGGTGAAAATGAAGAAAAATCTGTTAAACCAATAGGACATGAATGGTTCCATATGTGAAGAAAGAAAGAAAATTTCAAAAAAAATTTGTTCAAGTAAGAAACAAGTTGACTTACATATATACATTTTCTTGGAATATGAGACAAAAGGAGATAAAAAAAATCAAAATAAAAAAATCAAGAGAAACAAAGATCAAAATGGAAGGAAATTAAAATATGTTAAAGAATAAATTATGAAGAAGAATGTCCGAAATTAATAAGTTCAAAAGCAATTATTGTTTAGGTTAATTTCTTAGTTAACTAGATCTTACATTTCTTTAATATATAAAACTATTTAGAGACTGGTTTTAATTTAATTATTACAAATAAAAATTCAGATTATATATATGTGTCTGTGTGTGTGTGTGTATATATATATAATTATTAGGCAGGCGAATATTACTTGTGGAATTTTTTGTTTCTTTGAGGTAGCTTGTTGGTTATGTTGATACTACAGAGGCTGATCATATGTGTCCCTTTTTGTCTTTTGCTTTCTTTTCCATTAATTATATATGATCCGCTGTGACCCTATTCTTTGGCTTGTTTCATGGATTTTGTATTTATAACAGAATACATTTATAGTAAATTATTGTGAAAGTATTTCTTCTCCTTTCAAAATAAAAGTTAGATGATTTAGTCTCCCAAGTATATTGCAAGGATAAAAAAAATTAAAAATAAAATAATAAATAAATAATTGAGACCGACGTCAAAATGGTTATATATAAATCCCAATGAGTTGGCTTATTCGGAAAATATCTGTACCTTGGTGTCTCATGAAACATCAAGTTTTATAATCGATTCCTTCTCGGGACAAATAATTTTTTAGGGACCATTCCCGGAAATAAAGTCCCAGCCACGCGGGTTATTGAAAAAAAAAATTTGTTGCATATAAATAGTGAAAGAAAAGGTGTGCGCAATTTAAGTTTGGAGAGGTTATGTGGTGTGAAACAAATTTTTGCTTCTGCTTGTTTTACACGAGTCCCATCATAACAAAACCATGGCTTGATGAGCTGCTGCAACTTCGGTGCATGATTTTCTTACCATAAATAAAAAATTATGTGATTTAGATACCAAGACTGGATAATAACCTTAAACCAACCCGATCGGCATTAAAAAAAAAAAAAAAAATTGTAACCTGTCTTATGCAAGTTAAAGAAAAACGAGGGCTTAACATTCGAATTCTCCACACGGGGAACAATTTCCTAACCTACCTGCTTCTCAAGAAGGTAGGAGTTAATTATGGCTACACATTAAACATAAGATGCCTTGTAACCATTTCAGATGACTACTAATTCCTGCGTCGGAACATAATGCATAAAACAACTTCAACCTTATTCCTCTTGAACTAAATTCAGGCCAAAACTAGAAAAATTGATTCTGTATAGACGTCTACAGACTAGTTTTAGCAAACTGACTGAGGCTGTTGATAAGATGATACATATAGTGTCCCAAGTGACTCCAGTTTCGAAACTCAGGGCTTCAATCACCACATCATATGTGTTGGGATGTTAATGGGACGTTTTGACGTGAATTCCTTTCCCTTCCGAACCCCCCTCGCCCCATTCATATAGGAATAAGGCAAGAATGATAATGCTCCTGACCCCTTTTCCCCCATCGATCCCCATCCTATTTAGACTCCCAAGCTCCACCACCACCCTGTCCCCAAATCTTTTGATACATTAGTAACTCAATTTGATGAATAAGTAATATTAGTGTTAGGAGAGGGCAGATAAATTGTTATCCCTAGTCATATGAACCCCGAAAAATAAATGAATAAAGTATAAATGCTTACATTGTAGTTTTAACACACGTAATGAACTTACGGGAAATTATGCAAAAGACCAATGTGATGTTTTCCAATGCCATGAAAGAGGATGGATGTTTCACTGCTTCCACACTTATTCTCTGCAGAACAATAGAATACCTCATACACAGAATCATGGACATAGTTAAGCGTACAGATCTATGCCCCAAAATATGGCTGGTTGATTGGTCCGATACTTCCGGTCTATGCTTTTAATCTGGTCCATGTCCTCTTTGCTCAGCTCGAAGTCAAAAACCTTGAAATTCTCCTCCAACCTATTCGGTTTTGATGTCTTTGGAATAACAACTGTGTTCCGCTGGATACCCCAACGAAGAACAACTTGTGCCACAGTCTTTTTGTATTTCTCAGCTAGATCCTGAGGCCATGGGAACAAAGACAAAATCATTTCCATAAACCAACCAGCATGAAGAAATACGTCATACATACAATTTAAAGAGTGGCAGGGTTAACTTACTTTGAAAACTGGATCATCCAAGCATGATTTTGAACCAAACATTTCGGTGTTAGCCACAGCACCTCCTAGAGGTGTGTGGGCTGTAATAAAGATGCCATGCTTTTGACAGAATTTGACGAGACAATCACGCTGGAAGTACGGGTGTGTTTCAATCTGATTCACAGCAGGCTTCACTTTCGAATATGCTAAGCAATCTCTAGTTAGGAAAATGTCGAAGTTGCTGCAAATAACTGTGTTATCAGATTAAGCTTACAAAATACATGAAAGTTGAGAATTGAACAATGATGATATAACCAAGACAGGGCAAAGAAACAGAATGCAAATTCTTTGCAAGAATTTGTGTATCCTAAGTTAAGAAAAGGCATGGGTACAAAGAACCATTCATAGTGTTATCTTTATCAAGCACAACGCGTAGAAAGTCGACATAAAAAAAGGCCAATGACAATGTAACTTTAACATATCAAGATAGTAAATAGGTGAAATGGTTGAGTTGCTATAAATCCATATTTTCTAATTAAAATGACCAAAACAATGTCTATATGGTGATGCAGCATTCATGTGCCCGGGATTAACTAGAGCCTGTCAAGTAGACCTGTTTTTATGTTCCTTCACAGGTTAAGTTTCAGGTTTCTTTCTCATGATGCCGATTAACTTAATTTGAAGAGTGTGTTTCCAACATCACCAGCTGGAATTATGGGATAGGAGCACTTGTAACCGGAAAAGGGGAATATAAATCCTCAAGCCATCATGGAAAATATATATACATAGTGATGCGGGGTATTCCAAAAGAAGGAGATGTGGATAAGGGCACCCAAATGAGCGAACACATGTCAGGAAAAGAGGAGAATATAAATCCTCAAGCCATCATGGAAAAACATAACATAGTGATATGGGGTATTCCAAAAGGAAATGTGGTACAGGGACTTGTTTGGCTCAATTTTGTGCGAGTGTGCTAGAGTCTAGAATTGACTTAATGAGTGTTGGATAATAATTATATGAGTGATTTTAGCCCTTAAATAACTCCTTAATAGAATGTTAAGTTGCTATACTTGGGCAACAAGTTGTTACCATAATTATATTTGACTTTCTATGTAATTCCTTTGTTACAAGTTTTTCCCAATTCATGGTTATTGCAAACAAAATTAAGAGAGAATGGAATAAAAGAGATGTAGCCCTTTGTGCTTTGTGTGTCGTGTGGGCTTTGTGTGTCGTGGATGTAAGCCCTAGTGGCTGAACCACGTTATATTCTTGTGTTCTTCATGTTTAATTTCTCTCTTCAACTTTTTATATCTTTCGTTCTTCATTTTTAATTTCTCTTTTCAACTTTTTATATCTTTCAATATGGTATTAGAACAGGTTTACCATACCCTACTCTATACTCTATTCTTCTCGGATCTTCAGATCAACTCTTCTCGGCTTTTCGGATCAACTCGTCTCGTCTCGGATCCTTCACTAATTTGAATCTCAAATTCATCAAAGCCATATTGGATATGCAATTTAAAATTTTCTTTGACCCCATCATCAATTGATTCAGATTTTTCACTTTCAACGTCTAACTTTTTGTCATCATCTTCTTTTCTTGCCGTTTAAATTCCTTAACAGCATCAACTTCAACAACAAGAATAGGTGAAACAACAAAATTCTTCTCATGATTAATCTCATAGTAAGGTGGAAGAAACTTGGCTTACAAAAGACGTTCCATCTTCAACCAAGATCGTACAGGTGCTTTTCTTAAAAGCTATTCCTTCAATTTTATGTGACCAGTGCCATCTTATTATCCTCTGTAATTTCCATGTAATCAAAGAACCTCTCAAAATCTTCTAACCAATCCAAAAAATCTTTAACATGAAAGAGACCATCAAAACTAGGAAGAAAATTCCTAGGATCATAATCCCCATGATTAGAATATTTTCGCATGTCTTTATGACCCCCAAACACGTCTTTAGCGTAATCTTCATCATCATCACCACTGAATTCATCCTCGTAGGCTGGTTGCCTACGAGGCAGGATGGGGTTGCAATTCCGAACAGGACGAGCGCAATCTTTATCAACGTTACACACCCTATTGCTCTCGCGATTTTGCTACAACTCAAACCTAGCAATCATTGCTTTAATATCTTGCAACATTCGCCAGGTTTTACATTGATAGCCTTGAAATTCGGCCCTAAAAGGAGCCTCTCTGTGCTGATCTTCATCGCCAGGGAGGTTGCTATAAAAACGATCACCTGCCATCAGACCAGGAAAAGACGAGGCTCTAATACCAACTGACGTAAGCGGAAGCAATAAATTTAAGGAACAGGTTACCATGAATCCACAAGGTGGATATTTTGAATCCACAAAACGGAAAGATAATTCAGAGAAATCTGATATATTATTTGATAATTGAATGAATGAAAGTTAATTATGCACTTGGCAGTACACATATTTATAATAAAAGAAAACCTAACTCTAGAAGAAAACTAAAACATAAAGAAACTAACTCTAGAAGAAAACTAAAAACATAAAGAAACTAACTCTAAAAGAAAACTAAAACATAAAGAAACCTAATAGCAAAAGAAAAATAAGCCTAAAAATAAGACTGAAAATAAACTTTCTCTAAAAAATCCGAAAAAATAGAATAAGAAACCTAATAAATAAAAAATATTAAATCTAAAATCTCAGAGCATTACAACTTTGTTAAGGCCTCAAACAAAAATCTTGAAATAATCCGCAGACCTCTTATAACATAATAAAACGCAATTTCAGAGCCCTAAACGAAGGTTTTCAGCTAAACACGAGCATGGCACACAAGAAAAAGCTAGTGGTTTTTTCTCAATACGTCGTTTCCACCCAAAAAAACACTATTGGTCTGTCGAAAACGGACTTTTTGAACTGCTTGTCGAACTGTTTAGAATTTTGTCCAACATCACTTCATATTTAATTTCAAGTTAGACCCTTGAGTTAAATCTCCGTGTACCAACTTGAGATGGGTGTTGGAGAATAATTAAATCACTCCTCAACAGAATGTTAAGTTGTTATACTTGGGCAACAAGTGTTGCCATAATTATATTTGACTTTATGTGTAATTCCTTTATTACAAGTCTTCCCCAATTCACCTATAAATAGAGGTGGTTATTATAAACAAAATCAAGAGAGAATGGAATAAAAAAGATGTAGCCCTTTGGCCTTTGTGTGTCGTGTGGGCTTGGTGTGTCGTAGATGTAAGCCCTAGTCGCTGAACCACATTATATTCTTGTATTCTTCATGTTTAATTTCTCTTCTCAACCTTTTATATCTTTTGTTCTTCATGTTTAATTTCTCTCTTCAGCTTTTTATATCTTTCAACAATGAGAATAGCCAAACTATCCCTAACAGTGACGCGATCGGTCATAGGAAGATAAATTGGTCCATTGATATCAGACGATACTAGGAGTTAGGGATGACCCCTCCCTTAAGATTCAGGATGCCTTTGTAACAAGGACTTTTGACCACAAGTAACCAAGCAAAATGAATGAGAGAAGAGGATCTAAAACAGAAGCGAACCCATATCCATTTTATTACTGAACACCTTTGATACAAACTCATGGAAATTTGAACAAAGATTTGGTTGCATACAAGATGCAAGTGAAAGGTTGAAACTAAACTAAGGCAAAGGCTTAAAGTTTGGCTACAGCTATGGCTACTCCTATGAAAGCAGTAAATTGCAGAAAAGTAAAGATAACAATATGAAAGTAATGTGTTTCGGTCATCGACCTCTGCACAAGTTCATTTCTTATGTATTTATAACCAGCCCTTGAGCGGGTAAAATAGTTCAAAGTAGTTATTATCAACCACTAATCAAGGACAGTTATCCATGTAATGATTAGCCACAAATGGTTCTCAATTTGAATCGACCTCCGCTTTGACCACATTGTTGCCTAGATATTGACCCAAAGAGGGGGGTGAATTGGGTCTTTGACAAACAACTGGTCTTTTTGCAGAATTATTTAAGGATCCTAAAGGTAATGTTCTAAGGTTGAAGGAACCTAAATGAATATCTATGGAAGAACTCCTAAGATAGGTTTCTGAGTAAGTTTGTGAACCTAATGGGTAGTTTAAAGGTGAACTCCTAAGGATGGCTGGTGGTCAACTACAATGGTTGGTCATTTGGCTTGCTATGAGGGATGGATGTTTGAGACTCGGCTTGGTTCTAGATTGTTTAGCTTGGTTTGGCTTGCTTAGCTTCAATTTTATCTTTTGGTTGTATTGATTTCTTGTTAAGTGTTTGCAGCTTGATTGGTGAAGTAAGTTGATTGTGACGATGGACATTCTACAATGGATTCATATACATACATAATCTAAGTAAGCTAATATCACTTATACAATACTTAATTATATATAACATATAAGAGATATACTAGTCCTCTATATATATTCTTAACATTATATATATATATAAGCACAACTAAGCTAAGCATATGTATATATATATATATATTGTGATGTTGTAACCCGAATTTTGTTCCAGCCCGATTTTGACCAGAAAATGAAAGAATTTTTATAATCCGTTTTTTGCTTGCGGGTCGTGGACCCTATTTTTGGCTCACATTTTCTTTGAAAATATTTTTTAAGTTATATGGAATACTAAAAAGCATTGTTTGTAATACAGATGCTACATTCACCAGCACCTTTGGGACGGAAATTTTCAAGTTACAGGAAACAATATTCAACTTTAGCACATCATATAATCCACAAACCAATGGACAAACTAAAGTGATGAATCGAACGGCTGAAATGTATCTTTGGCGTTTCATAAGTCATCGGCCTAGAGATGGATGCAGTGGATTCCTTGGGCAGAATATTACCACAACACTAGCATTCATGCGTCAACCAAGAAAACTCTATACGAGGTAGTGTATGGTAAGCCAGTGCCGACATTATTATCATATGTTCCTGGAACTACTCAAGTGGAAGCCGTTAACTCTGAGTTAAAAGCCACAGAGATAGTTGTAAAGGAATTAAGAGAACAGTTAATTACATCCCAAGAACACATGAAAAGGAACTATGACGGCAATCACACTAATAGAATTTTTCAAATTAGAGGTTTTGTACACTTAAACCTACGTTTGGTGTGCATGAATGGAATGGAATGGAATGGAATGCTCATTCCAACCATTCATTTGTTTGGTGTGCTAGAATGGAATGGAAACCATTCCATTGGAATGAAAATCCATTCCATTAGTAAACATATGGAATGGCCATTCCATAGTAAGATTAAATGTTTTTGTAATATTCCCAATAAGTCCTTTATCACATTCCAATAAGGAAAAAATCTTTCGCATAGACAAAAAATCTTTTGCATTCCATTTTTCACGTTTCTCGAGCTTCCTTATTTTTCACTAATCGTTCCTTATTTTTTTTTGGCTTCAAGGAAATTTTTTTAATATATTATTGAGATTGATATATGATTAAAAATATATATATTTTTTATTTTTTAGCTTTTACATCATCTTCTTAGGTTAAGTATTCAACTCCTTTTTAGATAAAATTGTACAGAAATTTATTTATGTGTCTTCAATCATGGTGGATTGGTTTATGTGTAAAACTTGAATCTATCTAAGATTTAAAGCCAATTCTAGAACACTATTTTGACCATGGGGCTGGGAAGTGGCTACAGTTTTGTGCTTGCGTCTTTTGGGAATTCACATATTTTCTCTTTTGCAGTCATTTATTAAGATTAATATTTCATTAAAAATAATATTTTATTTTATTTTAAGGTTTTTCTTTATTTTTTTCAATGGCAATATTGAGCATCTTATAACATCCCATAATTCATCGTCAGAATATTAATTAGATTGATTTTATTAAAAAGTAATGTAAGCCAATGAAAAGGGTATTTTTGAGAAAAATCATTTCATTCCAGATTTAATTATAGTCGACCAAACAATAGAATGGTAATAATCATTCCATTCCATAACGATTCACTGTGTCACACCAAACAATGGAATGAGAATACTCATTCCATTCCATTCTCATTTTCATTCCATTCTAAGTTGCATTCCATTCCATTCCTGCACACCAAACGTAGCCTTAAGGCTGCAACCTTATTCGCAAAAATCCTTATCCCTTAGAAAAAGTATGAAGTTATCTCCTACACTGTATGGGCCCTTTGAAATCATCGAAAAGGTTGGTCAGTAGCTTATACACTGAAGTTGCCAGATGGTTCTAAAATTCATCTCAGTGTTCAATGTTTCTTGGTTGAAGAAAAGATTGGGGTCACATGTTTCAGCCCATGATTCTTTACCAACAATTCTAGAGATAGAGGACCAGATTGTGCCTATGTCTTGTGCTATCCTGGATCATTTCACAAGGAAGAATATAGAAGAAGTTTTGTCCATAGGCATGGTTTATCACCAGCTGAAGCAACTTGGGAAAATTTGAAAGATCTGGGAACAAGATTTCCAGAAGCTAACCTTGAGGACAAGGTTGCTCTTTAGGGGGGAAGGAATGTTACGTTCCATACACGTCTGCCTCATCACGCACTAAGCATCTACAACAATCAGATTAGATGTAACGACCCGCCCCGCACTGTGTAGATATTGTCTGCTTTGCACACTCTCTTCTCGGTGCTCACAGTTTTGTTCAAAACGTGTCTAGATAGTTAAGGGGTGTCCACACATACAGGTGTCATCAACTTCTCCCCCCAGGCAAGTTGTGGTCATGACCATTCCACTTTTACATTACATGCCCAGCTAGTACAGGAAAAGCCGCAATCCCTAATGGCACAATGGTAAGGTTGTTCCATTGTGACCTAGAGGCCACAAGTTCAAAACTTGAATCAGCCTCTCTGCATATAGAGGCAAGACTGCATATCAAACCTTCCCCAGACTCCGCAATGGTGGGGGCCTCATGCAATGGGCACGCCCTTTTTATATGTAAAACTCAACATACAACTGCCTTACTACACACGGAAAAGCTGGAGGAAATTTCTTACAATGATAACAAACTAAGACAAAATGATAAATAGCCATGACATTATAGTTTATCGAAGTTCACCTGATCCCTATGCTGCGAACCAAACCCTTGGAAACCAGCTCTTCCATAGCCTGCCAGGTAGTCTCCAAAGATATGGTAGTGTCTATGTCCAGAACACCATCCACACCCTTAACACTGCCACATGAACCAACTCCTGCATGTATGCAGAACAAATTACAAAAGATACATAGTTGGAGAATGGTTATCTTTAACAAAGAATATGAGGCTTGTTCTAAACAAAGATGATAAACAATCTTCCTAATTATGAGGCATAAAGATGAATAACTACTTCATTTTTATCGGTCAACTTTAATCATGCTGATTAATCTCATTTGATGTATCTCATCAGTAATGATCATTAAAATGCCAATGCAGATTTGATGAGTTGGAGCAAATGGATCCACAAACAATTTGTTAACGCTTGAAACCAATTAATGTACACTTCAACCTATTTTCAGACCCCTACAAAATTCAACTTTTGGGAAGTGCACCACTAAGTAGTGGGGTACAGGCCACTTCAATGACCATTGCCGCTTTAGTTATACTAAGCCACCCCAAAGTTTCATAGGGAAAAAATAAATAAATTCTCGAATTATTCATTTTCAAATTTTGGACCCAAGTCCAATGGCATAGAACATAATAAAAAGAGATATACATAAATCGTGAAGGGGAAAACGGGAAGAACCTGTGTGCCTTGTGGCTATAGGGAAGTGAACAAGGTACAGATCTAGGTAATCCAACCGAAGCTTCTTCATACTGTCTTTGCAGGCCTCAAGAACATGTCCATGGTCTGAATTCCAAAGCTGCACTCAATATAGAATATGAAAGTAGTTGTCATGAGCACGAAATAGTGAGATTTATTCGAACATTGATGTCAAGAAGACTAAGGAAAAAGGAGGGGAAAACAATAATGAAGAGAAAATTCTGCTGTGACTAGCCTTTGAAGTAATGAAAAGATCCTCCCTCTTAACAAGCCCTGTTTGAAATGCTTCTGCAAGTGCCTCCCCAACTTCTGCTTCATTCTTGTACTCAGCTGCAAGTACTACCTTGTCAGACATGACTTACCTCACGAACAACTCACATAAAATTCTAAGTATATAGTTTAGGAATTACCAAACTCCCATATATTTGTTGATAAATGCCATTGTGATGAAAGCAACAATAAATATGTTGATAAACTGAAATAGAATAATTTCTCTTTTGGAAATTCGACTCTTCTACAAAACTTAGTTTATTTATAATAAAGTAGCTATTATGAGCATCACCTATTAATTGCAGAGCAATTTATTTATGGCACTGGTGATATATGTAAGAATGAATTCTTGTACCACCAAAAGAAGAATAAGTGGCTTGTGTTTTACTGTTAAAAAAATGGGTAACAATTCTGTAATTTGGAACACAGATTCAAAGCATAATGCTCTTTAAACCACTAAAATAACATATTATTATCATTTGCAGTCCACCCGTCCCACATGCACCAAAACTCCTGACCTCCATGATGTGAGGTGAGAGTCTTTATCATTAGGCTATCCCCTTGAGATTTTATTAGGTATTAGAGAATTTAAAATTTTCCTCAGAAAAAGATCAGTTAAGATGTGAAACTGATATAACAGGTAAAATAGAACACAGCCAACATAATATACATTATACCCTAAAATCTCATTCTTGCTTGAAGTGTTTTTGCAGTCACATTTTATACCTCCCAACTCATAATTCGTCAATCAAGCACCGATGAGTTATTATAACGGCACACTTAACCTACACTCTCCTTCCATACCCAAATTAAAAAGGATCAAAATGTACACTCCTCCGTGTGGGGGAAATTTCACCATTACAATAGTGAAATTTAACACTATAAAACGCGTAATTTAGACAGGTGGGTGATGTGGCGCTTTGCACGCGATGGGATTTTATAATCTACCACTTATATATCAGTTGTCATCGGTTTTTTATTCCTCTTTTGATAGCATGTGGTTATTGCGATTTCTCTTACCAAAGTTCTGTACCGAAACATCGTTAAACCATTTGATTCATTAAGAATGAATCAAATGGTATTAGATTGTTTTGGTTACTTTGGTGAGAGAAATGCCAAAATGTATCATAGCTCAAATATTATGGTTTTAGAGCAGATGTTCGATTCCATATAGTTGAGAAAGGACTTTGTCAAATAAATTCAGTTTTCGAGGCGTGTTGTCATCTTGATCCAAATTTTATATATATATATATATATATATATATATATATATATATATATGGGTTAATTGTAACACCAACAACAAAGAAAATAAAAAAATATCCCATAAAAAATTTGACAACTTGCCTCCTTTTGCACATGACAACCTACAATTATAATAAATATAAAATATAAAAAATTATTGCACCATACTTTTCAAATAGTTGGGGACAAATTTCAATCTGGGACAACATATAAAACTTGACATTAAACTCGACATTGGAATTTTTTTTTTTTTTAAATTAACAGTGGGAAAATCCAAAACCTTCATAAGATACTACTAGGTCACAAGAATTCGTAATATTTTTTGCAATTAACCCTCTACATATATATGCATACATATATATAATATAGTAAGACATATCTAGATGTTTATGTGAGAAGAGAGTAACATATATACCAGCACAATCAAAATGACGATAGCCGATTTTGATGGCGTTGATGAGAAGGTTTTTGACGTCTTTGCCGTCCATACGCCAAACGCCGAGACCCACTAGCGGCATCTTAAAGCCACTGTTTAGTGTTATTGCTGCCATTTCTTCACTCCCAAAACCTTCCCCTTTCTATTCTCTCTCCTATCTCCTCTCTCCTCTCTCACACACACTCACAATGCTCGAAGGCCACTTTTATTCTCTCTCTGTATATATATATATATACATACAGTTATACAAACGCAAAATAATAGGATCATCGTGCACGTAGTAGAGGCATCGTGGATGAGGCTTTTAAATGGCCCATGGGAGAAGGCTCAGATAGAAATGGAGGAATGTTCTAATGGGTTCTCCATTTATCCAGAAGTTAAATCATATTCATTTCTACTTATTCATTTTGTCATTCAAATTCCATAGGAAACAATCAAACAAACTCCCATTTTAATATTCTACCTAAATTTACAATGCGCTCATTACAACTCGGCCACGATGTCTACTCGGAGTGAAGATCCGGACACGGTCAAACTCTTGGTGTGTCACCGGATCAAGCCTCCAAGGGGGGTAAATTATGATGACCTTGTGGGCGGATGTGCCGTGGGCAGGTGCGAGAAACACTGTCAGGCTACCACACTGGCGAGCTACGGGTGCACAGTCCCACATCGCCTGGGTAGAGGAAAGGTGAAGTTTATATGTAAGTGTGTCACCTCCAATTAGTATGAGGCCTTTTAGGATGAAGTTCAAGAGCAAAATCGTGCAGGCTCAGCCCCAAAGCGAACAATATCATACCATGTGGTAGAATGGGCCATTACAAATGATATCAGAGCCGGACTAAGTCGACTCTAATACTAAGGTTACTCATTTATTTAAAAATATTTAAACTATTAAACTGGACTGCATATTCATCTATTTAGACTCACTCCTAACCGCAAGGCCACCAGAAACACTTTCTTATAATTTGAATCACTTGGTCAACCACAACACCCACCTTCTTATAATTTGAATCACTTGCTCAACCACAACACCCACCATCTCCTAACCCTTCTATCTCTCTCTCCACACACCATCGCAACCACACCCCACCACTGAAACAAGTTTAGCACCACCGCCCAACGCTTCTCTCTCTTTCACCACCACCACCACTTCATAGCCCCACCACCGCCACTCCATAACCCCCACCACCACAACTTCACCCCTACCAAAGGGTATTATTGCATATATATATATATATATATATATATATATATATATATATATATATATATATATATATATTGTTACAATCCCACAACAAAGAGAGCAAGGAGGAAACAAGGCCTGCGGGAGGCAGCGAGCTCGGATTATAGCAGCGGCGATGCAACTAGCCGGCGAGAATGAACAGATCGTGTTCCCCACACGGGCCACCACTTTGTCTATACAAACCTGCGCGTAGATCTAACGCATATCCACGCGTCCATTCACCTACGCGTCACGCGTCTGCCGACGCTGCTTTCCGATTCGTCGGCACTCTTTTCTTCATAATCAGCGTCATCAACAACTAAAATCATCGATGGAGAAATTCCAAAACTCCAATTTTTGTTCAATTTGGGGGTGATGTGGTTGTGCACCAAACCTGTCCCTCGCAAGAAACCACTAGCGATCATCAATGCCGCCACTGGCTGTTTATATATACTTTTAGGGTGAATTATGATTCACAAGAGGTTAAATGTGACATTAATCAGCGATTAGAACTTTGTGTGGTTTGGGGGGAGCGACTTAAAGGGTGTTAAAGTGGGTTAACTCATCTTAGCATGAGTTGTAGCAACAAAAAATAACCTCAAGAAAGTAAGCGGCAAGAAATAAAATTAGGCAAAACAGAATAAAGGAAAGTAGTACAGTAGAGGAAAGTGCATTGATCATTGGAATGGTGAATGTTGGTTTTGCAAAAGGAAATGACATCAAAAGAAATGTTGTCATGGTAATAAGATTTGGTTAAAGAAAAATAAAGCAAAGAAGGAAATTGTCGTCGTAATATTTCAACCCAACTTGGTAAAAGTACATGTGTATACATGGTGAATTATTTCAGGTGCAATCATACCTGCTTCTCGTTTATTCTGACGTAAAACCTTCCAGATAAAAATGTGCTTTTGTTAGATAGGATTATATATTGGGGCAAGTCTCTTGAAGGGGACTTGAATGCTTGGTCAATGATTGGATTATTGGACCATTGAAATTTTCAGATTATAATTTATGCATCGACTGTGAAAAGATTTAGAAGAAATACAAGTTTGAGGCTAGTCGGTCATTTAGCCTTTTGGATCATATTTATATTGACATTGGTTGTCCATTTCCTATTGTAGCTCAAGGTGTGAAAAGATATTTCATTACTTTCATTGATGGTTTCTTAAGGTATGCTCATATGTACCTAATCCACCAAAATTCCGAAGCATTTCATGTAAGCTAAAGTTGAAAATTAATTAGGTAGAAGGATTAATATTATAAGATCGGATCGAGATGATGACTATTATGGGAGAATGTATCAGGAGGGTATGAATCTTGTTACTTTTAGGCTATGTTTGGTGTGAGTAAATGGAATCAAATGAAGTTGAAATGAAATGCATTTGTTTCTATTCTCTTGTTTGGTGTGTCACATTAAAAGTGGAATGGCCATTCTTAGGGAATGTCCATTCCATCAAAAAGGTGGAATGCCCATTCCTCTTCTTGAGATGTAGAATGACCATTCCATTCCCACCAAGAATTAATAAAGTAATAAGGTAAATTAAAGAGATAATTCACGCATATACACACCATATAAAATATTATATGTGTATATATATATATATATATGTCGTTTGTTCCCTCTCTCTGATTTACACACACAAGGATGAGACAAAAATAGTGTAATTGAACTTATATGAGCTTTTGTGCTTTGTTATGCAACTTTCGTAGTCATTATCTAGCCTTCTGTTTCTTTTTTCTCGCTGGAACAAATGATCGGAAAATTATCTCTTTCCCTTTTATTTTTACAGTCATCGGAGAGCCCTATTTTCTCTCTCTATCTCGTCTCTTTCCTCTCTCTCTCTCTCTCTTTCTCTCTATTATCTCTTTCCCTTTTATTTTTGCTGTTTCTCTCTATCTCGTCTATTTTTCTCTCTCTATTATCTCTTTCCCATTTTTTTTTGCAGATTAATTTTTTTAGTTCATTTTTTTTACTAATAATAAAATGTAATTTAAATAAACAATATAAATTCATTCTATTCCAACTTTTTTTTACCAAACATAGGAATGAGAATGGGATTCCATTTTTACACATTCCATGTTTGCAACCAAATGGTAGAATGAGAATCATTATTCCCATTCCATTTCATTCCCACCTCTATTCTCATTCCATTCCAATTCATTCCACCACACCAAACATGCCCTTAGTATATACCTCAAGGAGCAAAGCATTGTGCAGCAGTACACAACTCCTAGTTCTGAGTAGAATAAAGTTACTGAGTAGAATAAAGTTACTGGAAAAGAGAAAATGCACTTATCAAGATGCTGTTCACAGCATGACAAGTCATTCTTTTGAGAATTTTTAGGGACAAACACTTAAAACCGTTGTCTATATTCTTAATATGGTGCCATATAAAGTTGTTCCTGAAATACCCTTCAAGTTTTTGATAAGTGGTACACCTAACCCTATACATTAGTTTATGTGGGGATGCCTTGTAGAGGCAAAATTATATAGTGTAGATATCAAGAAGCTTGACTCTCACACTGTCACTTGTCATTTTATTAGGTATATTAAGATATTAAATGGTTGCAAATTTTATTATTTCTCTAGATCAATAGAGATTAATGAGACAAGCCACACAAAATTTATTTAGGATGGTGAATCTAGTGGGAGTCTAGAGCATCGTAGTATCTCTTTGCACATAAGCGTTCTTCAGCACGTACCTATTCTATTTACTTCAAACTGTATTCCACCTTTTTCAATGGTTTCAGTTAGAGCACTTATTCCCTCTATTTCAATTATTTCTCCTTCACAACCTCTCCCTTCTAATTTCAATCTAGTTCCTGAGCCTGTGCTAACTTAGGAGATTTTCTATAGTTCGGAGGGTAGTAATCAAAAAGAAAGAAGGGGATGGGAATGAGAACTTGAGATGAGGCTAGACAAAAACAGACGAATGGGGATAATAATTAGATTGAAGGAGGTATGTTAGATAAACCGAGGGATTGAGAACAACAAGAACTTGAGGGAGGGTAGACGCAAAGGGGAATTTCACAAATTCAACGATAATATTCAATAAATAAATTGATAAATATATATATATGACTTTATAGTCTGCGCTTTCCCTCTAAAACCCATATATCTTCCTCTCTTTCTCCATACACGCGCGCGCACGTGTATATATATATATATATAAGTCACGTCCCAAATCTAGATGACCTGGTGTATGAGTGAAATGAAGGTAAATCGGACCTGATGCCCGAGTCCACAATGCAGAAGTAAAATCTAGACTCGTCAACCTATGTAGTCAACAAAATCCTCAACCTCGCAACGAGTGATAAATCCCCAATCCCATCCAAATAATGGTTATACAAGGCCTTACTATGTGATTGAAAAGATGAAGTCACATGAATGCATCACTCTAAGTCCCAAGCATGTGAAATGACTATACTTGAAGATATTTGAGAAAAAGATTATTTTAACCTCAAAATGTCAAAATAAATCATGAGTATTAGACTAACAACTTTGGGGTGCAATGTAATACCCCAATATTTTAAAGAATTTATTAATTAGGATTAATTACTTTTATTTTATTTTAAAATTATTTATTTTATTTAATTGATTGCTTAGATTAATTATCTTATTTTAATTAGATTATATTTTGTGATTATATTTGCTGAATTGATATGGTGTTTTGTTTTGTGGAATGCTTTGATTGAATTATTTATTTGATTTGTGTGTATTTATGCTTGTGTGAATTGTTTGTTAATTATTTGTAATTATTAGATTAAATTAAATTAAATTAATTATTTTATTTTAATTGGATTGGGCTTGAAGAGGAATGGGACCAATGGATGTGGTATTGGGATTGAAGGAAACCTTGCTGGGTTTATTAATAAGGGCTCATGGTTAT